TCTCTCTCTCTCTCTCTCTCTCTCTCTCTCTCTCTCTCTCTCTCTCTCTCTCAGAAAGCCAAAAAACCCAAACCGAATCAAACCAACCTACCAAGTCTAGTTAATCGAAGTGGTCAGTTTTCATCAATTATGATTTGGTTTTGATTTCCAAAATAGCCAAATCGAGGCCTACGGTTCGGTGTTTGAGTTGAGTCCAAAACCGAACCAACCAAGACCAATTATATTCCTTTTTGAATGTTTATTTTATGGTTGCAAATTTGATCTAAGAGTTATATGTACATTATTAATGTTCTTGGGAAGTGTTAGCTTCGAGAGGCTGTTCATGAGAAAGAAGGCAGCTTAGACTAAAGTTGGCAATGTGACAATCACACCGAAGATTTCATACTACTCTACATTGTGTTATCTTAGTCCTAGGTTTTCAGTTAGCACGCCTTGTATACCGTTTCAATTGGACTATGTTGAATTTCTTTGAGTTCTTTACCTCCTATGCCAATGCGGTTAGCTCAAGTGGCTAGGGAATGTGAGAAAATGAGTTATGGCATGGATTAGGTAAAGTGTTTGATGCGCTCCAACATAACCAATAAAAGAAAATAGACGTAATGGTAATTCATGGGGAAAAATAAAACCAAAAATCCTCTGGAAGATCCAAGTTGGAGAGCCATTAAATAAGCCTGATATGCTATATCATAAACAACTAACGTTTCCTTGGCTAATACCACAACTCATCCAAACTTACATCCGAAATCAAGAGAAAGTAAGTTGAAGGGAAATGATATAAATAGCATTGCCAATTCACCAGATGGACTGCGAGTAGAAAGACTAAGTTCAACGAGAGGCGTTGCTTGATGCATAAAGGACTGGGACTCTTCAATAGATTCCAGGAATGACCCTGTAGGACACCTTCTGACAATATAGTTTCCAATATTTACCGTACCTGCAAGAAGAACGCGTCAAAATCTCATTCAACATTATATAAAATGCTCAAAACCATTTCATAATTTGATGGCTTTTTCAAAAAAATATTCTTCGAATGATATGTCTTCGTCGAATTGTCAGCTAAATTTGTATGTAACAGGAATCTGTATCTGCTTACTTGGACCGACATCGATCGTCATCCCTTTTGGCTCGGTCAAGTAGAAGGATGGTAAGAAACACCACGTAGAAGTAAGGTAGAAACTGCAGGAGAAAAAGATAATAATAAATTCAGCAAGATGTTCTCCACAACATCCAAGTATCAAGTACCCCGTCCCAACAAACACAGAGAAAACAACAGAACACTAAACATAAATGGTTACATGATTGAAAAGAGCTGGAACAGTCCAGAAAAAGGCAGCTGATATTTCTGGCACATAATGGAAATGACGAGATAAACCCCACCTGCAGGAAGAGCAAATAACCTCAGCAATGACTTTAGCTCAAAGTGCCAGCTTATCTTTTAAATTATAACATATGCATGAATTAGACTACGCTATGTGCAGAGAAGAGAAGTGGACCAACAAAAGCATCACTCAACTAACTCTTCATGTGCGACAAAAAGAACTGACACAAAAACTCAGTTATACGTGTATGCACAATTTCATATTTACCAGAGAGAACTAAAGTACTCACCATCCTGAGGTTAAAAGAAGGCTTGTCTTTGTTTCCCCAGATGTGGTAGTGTATGAAGCGACAATCTGATATGTACAAATCATATATTTTTTGTCAGTCAATATATCTCAAACTGTACATATAATGATAATCGCATGATAATTTTTACAAGACTAAATACCTTTGATGGAGCTTTCCCCCAAACCAAGCATTTGCCATTTGTTCTGCGAAATTCTTGCCTTTGCCTGTCGCAATCATAGTTGATGTATATGCAAAGAATCCCGGCCACCAAAATAAAAAGTGCTAGCTGGAACATGAGTCAGTTATGAGACCAATGATCACAGAAACAGATAAGGAAGAAAAGAATAAATGAATCAGCTAAGAAATGTCATTCATTGCGGAAAAACCAGCCTTTACAAGGATTTAAATTTGTAATACCTACATAAAATTCCTGTAGTTTATGGCTAAAATCCAATTCTTTCAAATTGCCAAAACTACAGCCTGACTTTCACTCGCTAAAGTTTTAATTATTTTCTTTCCTTTCTTTTTATTTTTCCAGAGCATTTTTTTTCCTTTTTGGCACTGAATCTTATTTTCCAATAAGAAGATAGTCTTCTCCGACCTGAAAAATACCCTGTCCCATATAAAGACAAGATCTTATCCCAATTTTCGTGCATGCTGCAATGAGACCAAATGTAAAAGATTTTCAATTCTTTGAAGTCGTACCTCAAGAATATCTCATAGTATTCATTCAAACAACCTAACCAGTAGCCAAAGACTAAAGGTTAACTTAATTCTGTTTTTCCCCATGCTCATTGAGACATGCCAACTTTTAGTAGCAGAAGCTTAGATAATAACCATCAATCATGCATAATGAACCCCACGTATAGAGAAAATGTGCATGACCAAGACATAAGCCTTTAAAATAGGGAAATCACAAGTTGAAAAACTTAGAACACACCTTCATATGATTGATAACTTTTAATAAATTGGGCAAACTACATATGTGGATGCGATTATACCTGAGTTCCAAGATTTACAGGATGGTTGACCAGGTACATGCCAGGAGAAGTATAAATAGATGGAACCCAGACCAAGCAACCCCAGCAAATATAAAAGCCCGCTGCCAGAGACAAAAGTACAATGAACCATAGTCAGATGAAGCACGAACTGAACCAAGTTAAGGATGATAAAAAATTGATTCAATATTAAACATTATTGTGGGTCAATCTACAGGGGTAAGAATGAATATGAAGATGGTCAACATGAAATTCTCAGAGTTGTTAAGGATGCAGTATAAAATTTGCTCACAGAGTACCATAACAAACTTGGTAAATACAAAGCCCATCATAATAGAATATCAATGCAACCAGCCCCCAAAAGACTGCCAAATTCATTTTGTTAAAAAAATAAACCTTCAAATATTAAGGCAAACACATCTGATGGTTACTCTTGGACATGCCAACAGCAAACAATGGAGAAAAAGTAAAAGGTAGAGCATATGTGAACCTCGATCATGCGCAATATCCATTGTATTCCAGTATCCAGCCTCCCACCAAAAGAACTTCGTCACATAAACCAGCATCAATATAGTATTTACAAGCATTGAATCAGCTACTGTCCCATTAACTTCATACTGGTAAAAGAAAAAAAAAGTCAAATGTTAGAAAAACTATGGTTCGAAAAAAATGTTAAAAAGGCGAACATTTTTTATCTTCATCATAATCCTTCCATCCCGTAGGTTTTTCTTCCTTGGTGAAATTAGGGCAAAAATTCACGTTCCATCAATCTATGTGATGGAAATGTAAATGTGGATGGCTTTGAAAATGTTAACTAACCATAATGGTAACTAGTAAGTTTATTGAAATTCGACCTATAGCAACTAAAGTGAAATATTGGACCTCAACGACAAGGACAAAAAGAAATATCAGAGAAGATTCATTTACCTGCTTTATGCAATAGGTCACAGCAAGAACTGCCCAAGACATCATCCCAAATCTGCAGTTCGTGAAAACTTTGATATCAAAGTTTTTACCAATTCGAGGATACAGCTCCATTCCCTAAAAAAATGAAAAGGGAACACTAATTTCTTACATGAGGCCATATCCAAAAATAAAAAGATTACTTTCATTACAAAAAATATATTTAAAATCTCACACAATAATAATTCTATTTATAGGCGGCTATGAAGTATAATGTATTGACGTAGTCTATTAATTTTCTTTTCGCTTTGACCAAAAAAAAATTTCTTGCAGGAAACTTGAATTTTATAAAATGAAAGAAAAGGTGCAAGGAAATACAGACAAGAAGTCCATCGAACTAGTCGACTACGAAAGAGTAACAAAAAATAGCATACAACACAATAATCCCTGTCTAATCAGGATGAATTATATCAAAACGGATACCAGGGTGCTCCAGTAATTCAGTATGCCAAAACGTACTTTTCACCTTGACTGAGTCTAATTTAAATAGTATTGCATCAGATATCAAATATTAGAGCATGACCGTGACATTTGCATAAATTCTCTTGTGACAAAGTTATTCTTCGGATACAGTCCATTAAGAACCTGATTGAAAACCAAGTTTATAAATTCTTTGGTGCATTTCCAACTGCTTGTAACCAAAGAAAAGCAGGGGTCCATTGCTCAGATAGATTAAAGATAACACAGTTATTGATGCTGTTGGCTTGTCGAGAAACATTTTTTTACATGGTTTATATAGTATGAGTTAAAAGATATAACACATATTTTGAAAAACTAAATCAAAAGGCAGAGTCACAAATGTGCAACTTAGCATCATTAATAAATAATAGAGAAATGCACATACTGAATCTGTACGTTTTAGGGGTATAAATTCAGTCTGTCCATCCTTAAAATTTGAGTTGCTACTGTTTACCACTGGCAGGGAACTGAATTGATGAAACAGAAAAAATGACACTTACCCAGTAGAAATCAATTATTGCATTCCCAGAAGACCCAGAATCGGTGGATGATGGTGCCAAGTGACCCTGAACACACAAAGAATTTGTGTCAAGAGAAATAACTAAAATTCAGATGAACTTATATTTCGGTGTAATTACAAAACCCTCACTTTTATGTACAGGAGAATACAGAAAATGAAGCTTCCGAAAATAAGTGCTGAAAAAATTTCTCCCAAATGATCATAAACAATTGTAGGGTTGAATATCCCAAACCTGAAATTTAACATTAAACAAAGGCATCAAATGCACTAGAAAACAGTTTGGTGCATGGCAGATAGGACAACAAATAACAAACTTTTAGGGGGGAAGGGGGCTTAATAATACATAGACAACAATAGCGGCCACTGCGTCAATAACTCAGTAATTCCCACCAAGAAACTAAAAAAAAACTATCACAGCCTTTCTAGGGATACGAATTCAATGATGCACAGCATTATATAAAAGGAAACACTATGAATTGATGGAAAAAGTGTGTACCACCAAAGGCCGAGGTAGGTAGCCAATGTTACAAAATATGCTGCCATACCATTTGCCTGCACAATGCACATGCTATATTAATACATATATAACCATATTGAACAAATAGCAGGAAAAATGGCAAAAACATGACCCCATGCAAGTCCAGATGCAGAAAAAAAATTTATACAGTTTTGAAAATCTACTGACTTGGAGAAGGCAGGTTGTAAAACATTCAAGACATATAACTTGAGTTTGCATCAGATAAAGATTTGGAACCCCGTGTTTACATGATCACTTTGGCAACAGAGTTTTCACATAAAGAAAACGAGTATCCAGCACCTTGTAGACAGGTCGATTCCCTGTTGGAGAAATTGGGCCCTCAACCCTTTTTCCAGGTAAAAGCAGCTGGAGTGCAGCTTCAAAAGCACCATAACAGGCAATAATTTTCCAGGCAGTGGCAGTAGGTCTTGGCCATATTTCAATGAAACCCTGCAGACCATGCTGCTTTAAGTAATCCCAAGTTTGGGAAATAGAGCCATCAGCATGTACCATCGTATACCATCTGCATTAAGTATCAGATTCTGATCTCAACCACTCATAATTATCATAAATTATATCTATAACATGTAGCAGTAATTGTTGTATACAGTGATTAATTGATAAGGTGTTCCAGGGCACCATACAGGTGAATGTAGCATTTAGCAGTTGGAATCAGCTCACTTTTGACAATATTCAGCTAAGCACCACTTCTCTTAACTCAGATTAAGACATTTTAAGCTTTCCGTGGCTGATTTCAGCTATGGTCTATCTGTGTGATTATAGCAATCACTATCAATTTGGTTTTATCAATAGAGTATCCCTTTTCTCTATTAAACAAAAGACAAAGGAATTTTCAGAATTTCAATTTAACAAATGCAGTGTGTTATAACTCCAAAATATGCCTTGGCTACTTTGATTCTCTTTATGATTACTTGTTACTTCTAATCCTACCAAATCATCCCTTCAAAAGCCACAAAAAACACGCTAACGACTCAAGCTTTTTAACATCCATAAAATCTGATTTGGATTTTCTTAAACTCGGGTTAGCTGTACTAATGTTGAGTTATATACTGCGTCCCAACTAATCAAAATCAAATACTTAAAACTTTCATTTGGGATTCTCTGCCTGCCTCTTTTCATCAACGAAACAGAGCAATATAAAAACGAAGGAACAAAAAGATATTAAATTACAAATGGATCTATTTGAGATATAAACTTCAAACATAATCTCAGGGCCTTGTATAATATAAAATGTAAAAATCTTATATGATTTAAAATCTGCAAGTATTCAAAGCTTGGAAAAAAGATGAAAAAACCTGAACATGTCCCTGCACCAGTTCGAGCTCTAATTCATCTTGCTTTGCATTCTTTAGAAACAATTTTCCCAGAAAATTAAAATTTTCTATAGAAACAAACAAGAAAACTAAAAACAAGATGAGATTTGGATTCAATGACCCTACGTCTCCACCAAACCAAAGAAATAACGATAACCCATTATTTCCTATAATCATTATTCCTCAAGAAAACGCATTTTCACATAAGCAAACATAAAATTCATTTCTTAGAGAAAGAAACAAAAAATGAAACAAAACAGATTGACATAGAACTTACAGTAGAATTACAAATGGAGGGCAAAGACAAAGCAGTGATAACATGGAAGCATATGTCACCAATGGTGAATGTACGGTATTCGTCTCCCCCATTCTCTCAGATCTCTCTATGAGTCTGAGAGTGTAACTGATTTTCTCTCTGCCTCTGAAGAACTCTGGTTTTTTTTCTTTTGGGAAAGGTTTTTTTAATCTAATCGTTGACAGACTCAGTGAAGAGAAGACCTCGTATCGTAGCGTCAGAAGTCTATGGTGTTTTATTTAATTTCCAATTATGCCCCTAGTGGTGGGCCAACATGCGATCTGAGTTTGCAAAACTTGGACAGTTCAATCTGAATCCAACCCAACCCAACTCAACCCAACATGAGTTACTAATGGGTCATCGTAGGAGTTCTAATTGACAAATGGTACAAAAACTTTTCTGCAATTTGGGGTATTTTTTCTCCAATTTCTCCAACTATTATTTATTGAAGAATCTAAAACAAGAAATCGAAACTCTTTGGGAGAAACAATATATTAAATTAACAAAAAAGGTCTTTGACTTTTAGTATTGACATATGAACAGAATTTTCCTTGGCTGCTAATTAAGTTTTTAGAATGCCATGCTATAAAAAGAGTTCGTCTATCTCATCTTCAATATCTCTCAAGTCATCACAACCAATTTTGCATATCAATCATTATACATCCTTCCTGCTATTCACAAAAAATGGTGAGTTTATTACTTGTTTTTAGCTCACATTGTTTCCCTTAATGTTGTGTTCCATCATGTTATGAATCTTCTTATTAAGTATTTTTTTTTCTTTTTGACGGGGAGGGAATACTTGAGCTCATATGTTCCTGTCATGAAAAAAATATTAGGGAAACCACATTTATGTACCACCTTGTAACTTATTTAAGTATGATTTTCCTAGTATTACGACATTATAAAATATGGCAAAATGGGGTTCGCTTCACCATTGCCAGACTTATAGCTATATATGTTGGTAGAAACTATTTATTAGTCTAATATACAAGAAGACCAGAAGGAAATGGGGTTCAGGCTTATTTCAGTCTGACTCGGTCAAAAAGACAAAAGTCATTTGAATTATTGGACTATGCATGCCTATTATACTTGAAATTATTGGACTAACACATTTTTGTTTCAATTTTGCAACTGACAAATTTGATGGGAAGCAGCCTCTTTCACTAACTATTGAGGTATGGCTATTCCCATATCTTTTTTTTTAAAATTTTAATTTTATGGAAATAAGACGTGTTTCAATTTTGATTCTAAGCTGTTGTATTAATTTCCGGACCAGAAAGAATTTGCTCAAAACTCAAAAAGGTTTAAATCTGTGGATCAACATCCAACTGAGCCATGGTAATATTCTACCTCCTTGACAATTTTGTAATGCCTTCTGCATCTCCTAACTTTGATTTTCATATTCTTATCATGTAATGATTTCCATGCAGGATTCTAGTAAGTTTGTATTCAGGAACTGTTTGTATCTGGAACTACCAGTCACAGGTGAGCCATTGTTACTTTCACCATTAATATCAAACTCCTAATTACCCGATTCGGGATTTTCATGCCTTTCAATAAATCTTCCCGATGGGGCTAACTTAATTTTACTGGTCCAGACCTTGGAGAAGTCCTTCAAGGTCACTGAGTCACCAGGTACATGATTTTCTTTCATTTGTTCTTGATGTTGCCAACTGGTCATGACTTTGTATTTAACATCTGTTTTTGCGCTTGCAGTGAGGTCAGCCAAGTTCATAGCACGTGAAAACTGGATTGTCACCGCGTCTGATGACAAATACATTCGTGTATACAACTATGATACGATGGAAAAGATCAAAGAATATGAAGCACACACAGACTTCATCAGGAGTGTTGCTGTCCATCCCACTTTACCATATCTGTTGTCATGTTCTGATGACAAGGTTATAAAGCTTTGGGATTGGGAGAAGGATTGGTCATGTACTCAGATCTTCGAGGGGCATTCGCACTATGTGATGCAAGTGGCATTTAATCCGAAAGACACCAGTACTTTTGCTAGTGCATCGCTAGATGGCACCATTAAGGTATTGAAGGCACTGTTAATTTGTTGGAAATTACTTAACTGCAATATTTCTGGTGTCATGACCTTTGTGGCACTTAAATTTTTACAATGTCCTGTTTCATTGTAGATATGGAACATTGGTTCTCCTACCGCAGAGTTTACCTTAGATGGCCACTCAAAAGGAGTTAATTGCATCGATTACTTCAGTTGCAGGGATAAACCATATCTATTGAGTGGCTCAGATGACTTTACTGCTAAGGTTTGGGACCAAATGCTGGTTATCAGCTTTCTGTTTAGCTCTATTGTAACATACGATTATGATGCGTATGTGTGTCATACTAATTTGAATTTTATTTGTAATTTTTTTTGGCAACAGGTATGGGACATTGAAACCAAAAGTTGTGTGCAAACTCTAGAAGGTCATGAGCACAATGTAACAGCTGTATGTGTTCATGCTGAGCTTCCCATAATAATTACAGTTTCTGAGGATGGGAACGTTCACATATGGAATGCAACCACTTTTAGGTAACTTCGGATCCAAACTACTTACATTACAAATTAAATTGACACAGTTTTCTGTTTAATTCTTGCTATTGCATCGCTTTGATCGACACTCATGTTGTAAACAATTCTTGTTGTATCACAGGCTAGAGAGCAAATTGAACTATGCTCTTGAAAGAGTATGGGCCATTGGACACTTGAAAGGATCAGACAAGTAAGTTTCTTTTTTGTTCTTTCTTGTGGGTTAGATGTGTATCTGAAAGGATGATTCTGCGAGTAACCGTTTGATATACAAGCATGTAAATGTGGCAAATGCCTCTCAATTTGTTGCCCTTAGCTTGTTAGCATTTGTTTTATTGCATTGTTTTACCAGCATATTTATCAATATATACTTTCCTTGCTTCCTACAGGGTTGCATTTGGTTTTG